GTGTTCTGTCTATTCATTGCTTCTGCCAGTGCATACATACAAAAAAAAAAAAGGGAAATGTGCACCACGTACCTCATATCAGCCTCAAACCTCCACAAATAAGACCTCCATCGCAAGAAGGACGCATGCCGTTATGCCATATTTCATAATCATATGCAGCTGCTGATCCTGCACGTAATCTTTCCCCGTAATTTCCATGGTGTAAATGACGTGCTTCGAGCCGATGACCACCACATTGTACGCCAACAAAACCAGCATCACAGTGCCCAGCGGGGAGTAAAGGAGTGTGCTAAGGGAGGCACACCCTTGCACCTGCAGCGAGTGCGTGGCGAGATTTGAAAAAAGCTGTCCAAAGTCCCGTCTGCCGCAACGCAACGCATGCTCATTGCTGCCGCAGCCGGTGTGTCGTGCCACCAGCGCGGACCTCAGCGCCGTGGTCCTCCCCAGCAGTGCCCGACGAGCAAACATTTATTTAATCCGATTTTCTCCTTTTTTCCCTCGTTCTCTCTTGTTTGACTCCGTCTTTTCTACAGCTTGAATATCCCTGATGCCTCCGTGCGTGTTGTTCCCTCGTTGTGTGAAGCCCAAACAATCGTAGCAGCAAGCAACTAAGCAAGCAGCCAGACAAAGCAACAACAATAACAACACGCAAACAAGCAAACACACACACACACAAAAAAAAAAAGAGGAAAAAGACAGATTTCACATGACAACATCTGTCGTCTACCACCGAGATGCGCATTGCAGACACGTACACACACACACACACACACGGGGCGGTCCGTGCATCCATCCGCACGTACGCTTTCAATGGAGGAGGCGCAAGTGCTACGCATATCATTTGTTAACATGAGGGAAGGTGAATGCAGTGTTTTTCATCTCATCTCTCCATTCCCCGTCTTCTCTAGACAATCACAAGAACAAACACACACGAAAAATACGGCGGTGATGCAGCAATGACTGAATTGATTGGTGTCAATATGAAAAAAAAAAAAAAACAAAAAAAAGAAAAGGAGGAGGAGGAGGAGGAGGAGAAGAAGACGGCCGGCAGACAAAAACCAAAAAAAAAAAAAAAAAAAGAAAACAAAAACAAAACAAAACAAAAAGTGGCCTCCTCCTTTTCCCCCGCCCGCATTCAACACAAAAACAAAAACAAAAACGGCAATTCATCTCCGCGATGCCTCCTTCTCTGCCCCTCAAAAAACGAAAACAAAAAAAACAAAAATGCGGGGCCTTCTTTTTTTTTTTTTCTTTTCTTTTTTTTCTGGGGGTTTTCTTCTTTTTTTTTTTAAATTCAAAAAAAAAAAATATATATATTTTTTCTTCTTTAAAATATTTCCCTCTTTTCCTTTTTTTTTTTTTTTTTCTTCTTCTTCTTTCGTTCGATTAAAAATAAATTTTTATTTTTTATTGCCACCTCTTCTCTTCTCTTCTCTTCTCCTCCCAGTAGTACTTTTGCTGTTGGGTACATGCCTGCTTCGTACATTTACATTCATACGTCTTCTCCTCCTCCCCCTCCCCCTCCTCCGCAGGCGTGGTTGGTGGCGGGGGGAAACAAAAACAAAAACAAAAACAAAAACAGCAGTTCGTCCATTTTTTTTTTTTCTTTTCTTTTAATTTCTTTTCTACTTTTGGTTCCGCGTTTTTTTTCTTCTTCTTTTGTGTGCGTGCGTGCCTTTTCGCGGGATGGGAGGGAACTCATAAACACAAACAAACAGGCAGGCAGGCAGGCAGGCAGGCAGGCAGGCAGATGCGTGCTTGTGATTTCTTCTTCTTCCCCCTCCCCTCTCCGCAGTTGCCGGCGTATTCCCCCCCATTTTTCTTCCGTCCAATTTATTTTTATTTTTATTTTTATTGTTGTCTCTCTCTCTCTCTCTCTCTCTTTTTGTATTGTTGTTGTCTGTACATGGGGGAGATAAAAATATAAAAATATATATAAAAATATATATATGGTGCAATTATAGAAGTATATATAAATGTATGTATGTATGAGTGGAGTATTGTGGGTGAATGCGTGAATGTTTCTTCTTCCCCATGCATAAAAGTTACAGTGTGTGTATATTTTAAATCGTCTTGCCCCGCTACACATTACAACTCTCCACCAACTTTCGTTTACATCATATTCACTCATCTCTATTTCACGTCTTCTTTCCTTCTCTCTCTTTCCCTCTCCCTCGCTGCAATTCCATTGCAGGGTATGCACGTACGTGCACGGTGCAAGACATGTGTGTACGTTCACACACACACACACACACACACATAAGAGAAAGAAGGAGAAAAGGAAAGGAATAGGGGCTTTTTATTACATCGTAATTGTGCATCGGCTTTCATCATGCCATCCAACTTTGCACAAACCAACAACAACAACAACAACAACACCACCACCACGGAATATATTTATATATAAAAGTATACGTACACGCATACCCAAATATAAATATAAATATTTGCATACAAAATAATAAAAGAAGAAAAAGAAGAAGAAGAAGAAGAAGAGAAAACGTACGCACACACACACACACACACAAAGAAGCACAGTCAAAAAAGAAAGAAAAAAAAAAAAAAAGAAACGAAAACAAAAAAACACCGCAAGAAAAAAGGAAAAAGAAAAAAAAAAAACCCAAAGCCAATCGCCTCTTCTTCTAATTCATTTTTTTTTTTTTTTTTTTTTTTGACTACGAAGCAAACAACAACAACAACAACGGGGATGGGTGAATCTACACACATGCACACAATTACACAAGCAGGGAAATTAAGAGGACCCAAATAATAATAAAAAAAGAAGAAGAAAAGGGGGAAAAACAAACAAACAAACAAACAAAAACTAAACCAACGCGTCATTCATCCACACATGCCGCTTCCGTTTCTTACGCTGCTTGCTGTATTTCCCCTTCCCTTTCCTTCCGCTTTTTTCCCTTTTCTTCTCCTCCTTTCTCTATCGTGCGTGTTTGTCCATGCACCAGGCATGCGTGTTGTTGTTGTCTTTGTTGTTGTCCCTGCGGAAGGGGGGAGGGGGGGGGGGGGGGGGCGCATCCATCCGTTAAGCCGCCGCGCACGCACGTTCCTCTTTTTCCCTCCTCTCCCTCTCTCTCCACATGTACAGAGACGCAAAGGCCCCCCAAATGACAACAACTCAGGACGATTAAAAAAAAAAAAAGGAGAGGGGGTGGCAGCAGCCTCAGGTGTGAAACAACAGAAAAGAAGGCAAATAATATAAAACCGACCTCGTTTACATTTCAGAAAGAAAAAAAAAAAAGAGAAAAAGAAAGCATCATCATCAACAACAAAACACAAAAACAAAAGGAAAAGCAGGGAAGGAGGGGCAATGCGAGAGTGAGGAGGATGGGCAAAGGGGACGGTGACACCGCATCAAAGACTTCGGGTCACAAACAAAAAACAAACGCCCCCCCCCCCCCCCCCCCTTTTTTTTTTTTTTCCTCCTCCCCTCTCAGTTTTCTTCTTTTACCAAAATTCAGGCGTCATTTTAGTCGACCGGCCTCGTTGAGACCTATTCGTTGGGCTCGCCGGATGCATGCGTCCCATTTCCTCCTCACTCGTCACCTCTGTGCACCGCAGTGTGGCACTCAAACCAATGCACACAAACACACACACACACACAAAACAAAAAGGAGGGTGACTGAGTAAGGAAACAAAAAGAGAAACTGCACTTCTCCCCTCTTCCCTCTCCCCTGCCTCGCCCCTCCCCCCCTCCTTCACACACATACACACAGAATGAACAAAGAAGAAGAAGAAAAAAAGAAAAAAAAAAACAACAACACATATTCAAATGCAGCTGCACATAAAAGAAGCATATTAAAGATGCTCTTACTCACATCATCGTCAAAAACGTGGTTCAAAGAAAAAAAAAAAGCCCATATACATTTACACACACACACATATATATATATATATATATATAAATGTATATATGCATCGAATTACCCCCAAAACGTTCATCTATTTACAATCTTGTGTATGCTTGTACTAGCGTAAATAGTATACATAAATACATCGTTCATATATGTGTATATATATTCATACATACATATATATGTTGATATTTATATAATACGTATATATATATATATATATAGATATATATATATATATATATATTTATATATCCATGGGCGCTGGGGTGGGACAGGACGAAAGAAAAGAAAAGAAAAAAAAAAACAAGAAAAGTAAAAGAAGCCTCACGCAGACAGACAGACGCACAGATTCCGTGGTATATATATATATATGTATATATACCAATAAATTGACATGCGTACTCCCTTCCCTTCCCTTTTCTTCCCTTTCCTCCTGAGCCCCCATCTCCCTCTCTCTCTCTCTCTCTCTCTCTCTTTCCCATTTCTTGTTTAACATTTATTTTTCTCTTTTCTAAGCTTTTCCTTCTTTTTTTCTTTTCTCTTCTTTCCTTTTCTTTGTGTTATTCTCATTATTATTATTATTATTATTATTTTATTTTACTTTTTTCTTTTTAGAAATAAATTTATTTAGTACTCCACGCTTCTGCATCTCACGCACTGCACAGTTTCCCTTTTCTTCTCCATTTCCCTCCTTCTTCGTGCTACGTTCGTGTCATCCCTCCCTTTTTTTTTCTCTTTTCTTCTTCTTCTCTTCTTCCTCCTCGTCTCCGCATCCATGCGTGCATGTCTCTCCCATACGACTCTGATCCTCCCCTCGAAGACCCGCTCCCCCCCCTGGACGTCATGCGTGTCAAACACCAGGCGAAGAAAAGAAAAGAAAGAAATATTAATGGGAACAAATATGTTGTAATGGGGGAGGAGAGAGAGAAAAAGAAAGAGACAACAACAACAACAGAGTAAGAAACTCCAATGGCATGTGCGTGGGTGGAAAAAGCAAGTTGAAACACCACCACCACCACTCTCCTCCTTCCTCAGCAACTTGCTTTCTTCCGTATTTATTTTTCTTTCCACCCGCCGCCACCCATTTCTTTGCTCGATCCTTCTGGGAGGTGACATGCGGTGAGAATACTACGCGTTGCCGTCAGCTTCAGCGATCCTCTTGCGGTGATGGGCATGGTTGCCCTTCCCACCTGAGCCTGGGTGGGCGGTAGCGAGGTTGAAGACAAGATCTTCTGGAGCCTTTACCAGTTCGCGGCGGACCAGGCGCTGCACAATGGGGGCACCGTAAGTGTAACTGCTGATGGGTATGAGGTACTTCTGAATGTTGTCAACCAGGCACCAGAACTGTTCCACATCCGCCGCGTCCAGTACACGCTGAGCAACATAATTGGCAAAGGGATTCTGCATCATGAGACAGAGCATACTTGGTGCCTCTTTGCCGTCTGAATGCACTTCAATCACTG